ATATATGATGATAGGGAAATAGATCTATGTACATGTATTTATATGTTAAGTATTAAGGTAGCAGACATACAATTGATGAAATCTTTCTCCGCCTGGCTACTTCACTATGCCTGAGGGTTATCTGTAGATAAGCATACCCTCTATACTCGAGTATAAGCCTAATTTTTCTGCACCTTTTTAATGCAGTTTTTGGGGTAAAATTAGGTGCCTCGGCTGACATTCAGTTTGGCTTATACTCAAGCATATACAGTAATCAGGTTCTATAGCCCAAACACCATAAAATGTAGCAAGCCCCTGGGGAGGGTTCAGGGGCTTTTGAGGTCAACTAGCACTAGGTCGGGATGATGACTTCCTTATTGCTGGTTTATTACACTACCCACTTATGATATTACCCATTGACTATGTATATGTTAGCTGTATGACGTGCATGCTTCTGAAAGAGCTGTAAACCCCATTATATATACCCATTGGAAAATGCATTCACTCCCTCAGTCCTGACAGGGGAGGAGGAGCTCCTGTGCCCCAGTATCTGTTTGCCTTTAATATTTTCCACAATCGTGAAGTCGTTCCTGAGGAACGTTTGAGTGTTGGGGACACACTCGGAGACACCCACCCCCTGTATCCCAACACATTTGTTCATGGACATTTAGAATTGTTTCCACTTTGGGGCTGATGTGAATAGTGTTGCAGTGAACACTGGTACACATGTATCTGTTTGTATTCCTGCTTTCAATTATTTTGCTAAGTACATTGCTAAAAATGGAATTGGATGGCAAATCAAAATAACAGTGAGGTATCACCTTACCTCCACTAAGATGGCAAGGACAAGAAGATATTGAAATTCTATCCATTGTTGGTGACACCAAAAATGGTATAGCCACTGTGGAAACCAGTTCAGAGGTTTCTCAAATAATCAAATGTAGAAATACCATAGGATTCAACAATTCCACTCATTTCTTCTTTTAAAGTTGGTTTTCTGGCAATAGTCTCTTAGTTTGTCTTTATTACTTCTTCATTGCTGAGGGATATTTTTGCTGGCTATAGAATCCATGGTTGACTATTCTTTTCTTTCAGTACTTAAAAAATGCTGAACCATTTGTGGTTTCAAAATGAGAAGTCCACTATCACTGGAAGTCATGTTCCTATAATAAATAATGTGCCATTTCTCTCTAGGTGCTTATAAGATTTTAAATGTCCCATTAGTGTTATGAAGTTTAATTTTGATGTATCTGGATGTAGCTTTTTTTCCAGTCTATATTAGTGGAGATTTACTCAGCATTGTTTTATCTATGGTTTTATGCTTTTCACTAAAGTTGGAAAATTTTCAGCCATTATTTCTTTGAATGCTTTTTAACTCCAATTCTCTCTCTATTCCTTCTGGGAGTCTAATGATACAAATGTTAGCTCTTTTGTTATTGTGCCACATGTGCTTGAGACTCAGTTCATTTTTATTCAGTCTATGTTCCCCCTATTGTTTATATTTGATTAAATTCTATTGATTTGTTTTCACATGGAGTGCTGATGCAGACTGCTTCATTTCAAATGTCAAGTGGAAGTTCAATTC